CCCGTGCTGGGGGCTGCCAACGCGGAGGTGACATCATGGTGCTGTCTAGTAGCGACAAGAGCAACGTGAAGACCATCTTCACCAAAATCGCCGGCCATGGCGAGGAGTATGGCGCTGAGACCCTGGAGAGGTATGTATCCGTCCCTGTCGCCATCCCCTCTCCTGTCTGTCCCTTGACTCCTTCCCATCTGCCCCCATCCTCTCCTCACCCACACCCGTCCCTGTCTTATATGAACCTGTCTCATCTGTCCCTGTCCCCATCCATCCCTGATTCCCTCTGTCCCCCAGGATGTTCGGTGCCTACCCCCAGACCAAGACCTACTTCCCCCACTTTGACCTGAGCCACGGCTCTGCTCAGATCAAGGGGCATGGCAAGAAGGTGGTGGCTGCGCTGGTCGAGGCTGCCAACCACATCGATGACATCGCAGGTGCTCTCTCCAAGCTCAGTGACCTCCATGCCCACAAGCTCCGCGTGGACCCTGTCAACTTCAAAGTGAGTGTCTGAGAAGGGGTGACCAGCCTGGCTCCTCTCCTGAGCCCCTTCATTTCACCCCCTTGCTCACCATCTCCTTTTGCCTTTCAGCTGCTGGGCCAGTGCTTCCTGGTGGTGGTGGCCATCCACCACCCCTCTGCCCTGACCCCAGAAATCCACGCTTCCCTGGACAAGTTCCTGTGTGCCGTGGGCAACGTGCTGACTGCCAAGTACCGTTAAGACGGCACCGTGGCTAGAGCTGGACCCAACCTGCTGCCAGCCAAAGCATATGAAATAAAATCTGTTGCATTTGATCTCCAGCTCTGGTGTCATGCTCTGGTTGCTGCCTGTGGGGAGGGAGTGGGAGAGAACTGCTCTGGGGGTCTGAACTGGGGGTGTCCTTTGGCAGGTGGGTTCACAGAGGAAATGGGCTCTGGTTTTGCTGTCTCCAACAGGTGTCAGGGGTTTGGGTGGTGGTGCCTGACAGGCAGACACTATTCTGCCAGTGATGGGGCTCTGGGAGCAAGCAGAGCATTTCCAGGCACTGGTGGAAGAGGAAAAACTCACGGAGACTGGCCAGAGTCTGGCCCTTGGGAGCTTCTTGCAGCCCCAGCCTGTCCTGGCCTTCCCACCAGAGCACCATGCTGGGATCACCTCTTGCCCCACCAGCCCCACGCACTCCTTGCCCTTGTTCAGGCCAAATTGTTGGAGATCATTTCCTCCTGGAAATGCTTGTTGTATACAGTGGGGTATGGGGGCTCCTGGTACTTGTGATCCTCTGAGTGATAGCACAGCAAGAACACCCCAAGGACCTCCAAACGCAAGCACGTCTCTCTGTGCATCCCCAACACGCAAGGCTGTGCAGCATTGTAGGGCTGCTTCTATTTCCACCTTGTGCTTCATTGCTGGGGTGTCACTTTGGAGGGGTTGTGGGGGGCTGGGAGGCTGGGAGAGACAGGGCAATGGGGCATTGCAAGAGGAGCAGATTGGGCTCAGCCCCAGATGCTGTTTTTTAGGCCCTGAACCTCAGTGGAATAGGGGGTGTCAGGGCAGGAAAAGGAGCCCAGGCAGCGAAGAGGTGCTGGGTGCTGCAATGCTTGGTGCACAGCCCCCGGCCCTTATCGCAGCCCGCAGCAGGGCGGCCACCATGGGGGAGGCTGCGGGCAGCTGATAAAGGAGAGCACAGGCTCTTGTCCAGCTGTGGGTGTGGCAGGAGATGAGGCAGCAGATAGTCCCGGGGGGCTACAACCTGCCAGGTGCTGAGTAAGGCTGACTGGTCTCTGCCAGGGCTGGAAGGTGCTTGGTGCTGGGATGAAGGTTTGAGAAAGCCCTGGGACAGCTGGTGCAGCCACACGCTGAGGTTGCCACGGGCCCCTTTGCTCCCTAGTGTTTGCAAGGATGGACGCTTGCCCTAACCCCACGGCCTCCAGTCACCATCAGTGCATGCACCAGAGGCAGGAGAGACCACAAATTACTCTGGAGAGAGAGGGAGGCTCTACAGCTCCCAGGGCTTCTCTTGCAGGCCACCACAGGCATCATGATCCCACGTGCCTGCCACACCTGGCACACTGAGGAGGGGAAGTGAAAACTGGTGAGGGCATCACTGACCAACCTGACCTACCTTTGCATGGAGCAGGGTGTCAGAGCAGGTTGCACCCTTCCAGCTGATGTCATCCATACGTAGCTGTGGGCACAACTGCTCTCCACAGAGAGCCTCTGCTCCCTGAGCAGGGGCACAGTGGGGTGCTCAGAGCACACAGGTGTGCAAGGTGGTGTGGAGTAGTTTGTAAAGCATGAGGAAGAGCCAGCATCAAATGCTGCACAGACTTGAGCTCCTCCAAACCCATCCACAAAGGACCCTCGTGGTCCCGAGTGTGGTATGTGCACAAGAAGCAGGGCAGGGGACAGTGCGTATGTGGAGAGTAAGGGGCTGCGGTTGTCCCCACTGCCTCTGCTTGGGCTTTCTGTTCCAACCACTCCCATGCTGTGTTGTGTCTCAGGCAGAACACTGCGTGTGGCAGTGGGCAGTGTCCTGGCTCTGCAGCTTTCCCAGGGCCTAACCAAAGAGATGCTGGGCTCCCAAAAGTGGGGTGAGTTTTGTTCCAGCCATTTGTCCCTGCTGCCACAAGATGGGGACCTCAAGCCGTGGTGCCTTATCAGAGCCAGGCTGAGGCTGCAGAGGGCCAAGACTTGGCCTAGAGCCTTCAGGCAGGGAGAAGGAGAAGGTGGCTGCCAGCATGGACTTCCAGCCAGCCCCAGCTCCTGAGCACAGTGGGGACACTGGGACCAACAGGCAGCAGTGGTCTGGAGCAGGGCAGGTCACACATGGACCCCACCGCTGGCCCAGGTTAGTTTTGCAGCTCATATGGCTGCAGCCCTGGGGCTGATGAAGTGGAGACAACCTCTGCATTGCCACAGCAGCAGCCCAAAATGGCATCAGGCAATGTGGAAGAGGTGGGCTTGGTGACAAAGCCCCCTGACCCAGGCCATGGCAGCACTCAGGAGGCACAGTCACAGGAGGCATCTTCAGGGGAAGAAGGCAGATGAACATCTTCAGGTGAGACAAAAGCCTGTGCTGCTGTCTCCACTATCTGGAGGCCTCTCTCACCTCTCATCAACATTTATTCTTGATGAACAAAGCATCTATGGTTCAAAGATACCCACAGAACAACACAGTATTTTCTTATATGATAGTGGCATCTCAGAGCTCATTTTTATTGAAAGAAGACTTAAAAGGACATCAGGAAACAAGCTTGATGTTTGTGACTTGCCTCATCACAGCACTCGTCTGCAGAGGGGTTGCAAACAGCGTTGTCCAGGTAGCTTAGATAATGCTTTTAATAGCATCTGATAAATAGTCACAGCCCTAGGGAGTGGGTCCTGGAAAGGGACACAGAAGTACATGCTTCTGGAGGAGGTCAAGCATGCTGGGGGAGTTTATTAGGAATTTCCCATTCAAACTTTAGCAGAGAAGCAGTGGGAAAGATACAGAATTCATTGCTTACGGGAAGCTGATCTTAGGATACCAGCTGATAGATCCTCTTGCTGGAAAGAGCAGGGAAAACATAATGTGTTTTATAAACTGTTCTTCTGTTTATAACCATATTCGCATTCAATATACCAATAGTGTAACTCATGATTGGTGCAGTCTGTAGGTCTTTTGTTGAAAAACTGCTGTGTAAGCAGTTTGTTTGCCATGTATTTGGACAGATACTCTTTCCTAAATGTCATATTTTCCATACTGAACTGATCTCTCTGATTTGTCTAGATAATTTTTAGTTTTAACCCAGTGCTTTGGGGTGCTCACAGCCCATCCAGCTCAGGAACATCTGAGAATTTAGTAAGTGCATTCACCATTACAGCACATAAGTTGTTGATGAAAGAACAGTGAATAATGATGTTGAACCAAGGACTGAAATCTGTCACAGAAGGAAAACAGACTCATCTGAAATGATTCATTCTTGGCAATGGCCATGGTTATTACTCATCTCTTTCTTCAATTAAATGCCCCACTGTTTGTTTGTGATTTGAATTTAACTGGTTTATGGTTCCTTAGTTTCCGCCTTTTACCCTGCTAATGATAAGAGACCCTATTGTCTCATTTCTGCAATCCCATCACCCACCATTGCTTCTCAAAGTTACTGGCTGTGTGGAGATGGCTTCCACCAGTTGCTGAGGTAAAGGGGCATTTTTTCAGGCAAACAGTCTGAAAATACCAGGATGCTTGAAATACACTTTAATCCACACCTTTTAGGATCCTCCCACCTTCTCTGCTGTCTATTTTGCCAGTGGGAAAAGGAAAAGTGGTCATAGGAGACAGAAAATAGAGTCACCCTTCAGTAAAATGCCCATTTTGATGAAGGACTTCAAGTATTTTCTCTCCTTCCTTTCCTAGAGGCAGCAACTGCTCCCAGCAGAGCAGCCACATCAAACACAGCTATACAGGGCCCTCCAGACAGGATGGGGCTGATAAAAACAAGCATTCGCAGAACTTCAAACATCATCTGCTCTCCTTTGCCATCAAAAGAAGTTCAACATTGCAAGCAACACCTTAGAAAAATCTTTTTGCTGATCCACCTCAGAGCTGACCTGTGAGGAGCCCAGGTCTTGTTCTGTGAGCTCCTGTTACTGAAAATGCATTAAGCATCACGAATCCCTCGTTGCTGGGGGTGTTTACAACAGAATCCAGGTCTTAAGATTTTATACCTGGGAGGAGAAGGAGCAAGTTTGTGGTAACATGAAAATTTTCTTCCTGCTTCCTGCCCAGTCTTCCCACCACACATCAACCACCTGAGAAGATCTGAATTTGCTTAGGGATGGTGAAACTGAGAGCATAGGATATGCCTTGCTGGTCACATCACTGGTTCATCTCTCCTGGTGTTGTTTTCAGCAACTGAAGATGCCATCTGAGGAGAGCACACAAACCCAGTTATTTTTTATTGTGCTTCTCCAGCATCCCCACCAGCAGTAAGAGCTATTTCAGAGGGTATATTCCTGCCTGTTGCCTTCAGCAACTGTCTGTTGACCTACTGCTCATGAATTTGCTCTACCTTTTATAAACCTGCTGATCCTGCTTGTTTCCACAACCTCCTGTGGCAGCAAGTTCCAGAAGTTCATTCTCCCTGCTGCCCCATATAAATTCCTTTTTATCAATTTTAAACCAATCTACCAGACTCATTGGTGGCCTCTAATTCTAATCATGCAGAATGTGATGAATGCCAGGTCCACATTCACTTCATGATTTTGTAAAGTTGGCCCTTTCTGCTCCCTGTACTCCAGGAAAAAATCCCAGCCTTCCCAGGATCTCCTCATACTACAGCTGCCCTTGATCATCTCAGTTGCTCAGGACTGTAAGCCCACTATATCCTTAGATTCAGAGGCCAGAACTGCACAGATGTGGGTGCACCAAGCTGTTACACAGCAGGCTAAAGATGCCCTGCTTCTTGTTTTGAGAGCCCAAGCCCTTACTGCTGACGTCACCACATTTTGCTGGCTTTTTTGCTGCACATCAAGGCTACAATTTTGGTGAACCATCAGTGATGACTCCAGCATCATTTTCCTGAGCTGTAATAGCCAGTTTAAGTCCAACCTCCTCCATTGTAGATCATATTTCCCTATCTGTGTCACCTTATTTATCTACACTGAAATGACTGACCTCCTATTTTTCCATTTGTGAATAACGCTGAAAGCTGCACAAAGTAAAGCTCCATGGACTACATCAAATAGCCTCTCACCATCAACTGCAGTCATCTGACATTTCTGTCAAAAGCTGAAGTGTGCAGCTTTAACAGCAGATGTTTGATCCATATTCCCAGGATGC